CCACTCCTCTCCTTCCGCCTCCCCTGGGTGAGGTGTCGAAGCCTGGGAGACCTGTTCCCACTTCGGGTGGGAAAACAGAGGTGCTGCAGCTTTCTCAGGGAAGCGCTCTGCGGGGTCATCAAGCCTTCTTGATGAAAATGGGCATGGGGTGAGGAGCTCTGGGAGGAGCGGAAGCCTCGCTGACGACGCGCTCCTCTCTAGGTGGGGACAGCAGCGCAACGGAGAGCTGGGATGAAGAGCTGTCTCCCTCTACGGTGCTGTACACGGCGACGCAGCACACCCCGACGAGCATCACGCTGACTGTCAACCGCGTCCGTAGAAGCAAACCGAAGAAGAGGAAGAGGAGTACGGAAAAGGCCCGCACTGCTCCGAAGGCCAAAAAGATCAAGGTACGTGGAGTGAGGCACGGCTGCTGCAGCTCCTGCCGGCGCGGTGGGCGGTGGTGCTGAGCGCAGGCCGACGGCTGCTCTCCTGTCGGGAGTTGCTCTCCCGGGTGTAATGACGTGACACCTTCGATTTGTGACCTGAGAGTACGTGGCTGTTGGTTAAAAGTTACCCGGCTGGAACTCCACCCTCATTTCCCAACACTGCCCATTCACGCTCGGAGCCTGGAGTCGATTACATACTTCCCCTTCTGCTCTGTTAGGATTTGGGGAAGTAACTTCTGGAGTCTGTTCGGGGCAGAGGGGCAGGCTGGGAGTGGAATGAGGGATGCAAGGGGCCTGGCGGATTTTAGTGGGGCGTGTTAAAGGCTCGGCTGCAGAGCTTCGTGGTGCTGTTCGGCAGAAGGGAGGCAGTGCCTGAGTGGAAACTGCAGGTAGCGATGACGCTTGTGGAGAGATGACTTTGCTGTCTTGTTCGTGACGGTTTGGTCCCCAAACCCATGGACTGCTTGCATTGGAATGCAAGTGTGGGAGCAGCTGGTTCTTTCCCATCATCCGCCAGCTGTACCGTGGCCTTCCCCGGGCTGGGTTTCCCTTGCAGTTGGGCGCTGATGAAGCAGAAGTCTGGGAGCTGTGTGAGGTCTTTGGGTTTCGTGGTGAACCAGCATTAGTCTGTTGCTGGCCCTTTCTTGTGCCAGAGCAGGTGGGGTGGGTCGGGGCAGTCTGGGTTTTGATCTTGAGGAGGTTTTTACTAGGTATGAGGCTGCTGGCCTCCTGACTTCACAAATCCTGGCCGTCGAGTTTTTCAGCAGTTCCCATTGGATTTGCATGGCAGCGTCTCTGGTCACGTTGCTTCTTGTGTTGGCCTTCCCGAAATGCTTGCCATGGTTGTGTGAGGGTCGGCCTGTCCGAGTAAGATCCAGCATGGCTCTGGGATGCTGAGCAAGTACGTAACACTGTTCTCTCTCTCTCCCCCCTTTCCCGGGGACAGGCCTTTCGAGAGGGCTCGCGGAAGTCTCTGAGGATGAAGGTGAGTAGAACCGAGAAACTTGGGGATATGGGGGGAGGGAGGCATTCTGTGCCTCTCTTGGCCTGCCTGGGGAGTTTCCGACTGTGGGCCCAGCCTTAGGATGGTCTCAAGCTTTACATGCCGGAAGCAGGCCTTACCCAGAAGGGTGTCACAGGTACTGCCCCCCGAACCCTGCCTTCGCCTCAGGTACCTTCCGGTAAGGCAATGTCACCGTGCCAGGAGCCGGGACTGAGCGGGGCGTTTGATGTAAGGGTGTGGAGCTGGTGGTGGCCACTCCTCTGTGAGCTCAGTTGCCGTGGGACTGGCTCAGAGCTCTTCCAGGCTGGGGTATCAGGCGGTGCAGGAGGCCACTGCTGGGGTCCCTGGCAGCGTTGCCTTGTTCCTCTCCCATCCCCCCAGAAGGGAGCGGGGGGCAGCGTGTTTGCGTCCTGACTGCGATGCTGGTGGTGTGCCTGTCTGCCAGAAGGTTTATTTGCCAAAAAGCCGTGCTCCTAGAAGCGCAGGGGCCGCCCTAGTTCCCCTGACCCAGTGCTGTAGCAGGCAGGGGCTCCTGGCAGGGGCTCAAAGGAGGTAGGACAGCGTGTCTGTCTGTCCGCACCTAGCTGCGTGGCACGCGGGTGCAAAGGCGTGAAAGCTCTCGCTGCTTCCAGTGTCTGTGGTGAAGGTGACGGCTGTTTGCCGTGCTCCTTGTCACTGACACCTCAGGGTCACCTTTGTCTCAGTCCCCTGTGAAGCCAGTTGGGTCTCTGCAGTGCTACCTGTGAGTGATTTAAACTGCTGTCAAGTGAAGAGTGAGCGTGTGGGGGTTTTTCCTGTCAGCTTCTTCCTCCCCCCCTCTCTACAGGATGGTATAAGCGGATTACCTGATTCTGCCCTCTCCTTTCCACTGCTTAGACCTTGCACTTCCAACCTTCTGGGTGTCAGCTTATGCTCTGCATTCCGTTTCCTGAAACCCCGATGGCTGTTTAGCTGGAAGGTTCGGAAGTGTTTTGGGACCAGGCACTGCAGAGGTGGAGATGCAGTCAGCATCATCTACCCTTGTGTTGGGCGTGAGGGGGGACCGTGGGACAAGCCTGCGAGAGCTTTGTGTGCCTCTGTCTTCCTTTGCTTTCCTAGTCTACTTCAGTTTTCCAAAGTGACGTAACCGCCTTCTGGCCACGTACTAGCTCGGGTTTTGGGTGTGTGGCGATGCCAAGTGCCAGCTCTCCAGGTCTGAGTCCTGCACGGAGCTCTCCGTAGCTTCCCAAGTGGCCCTGTTGCTCGGTGTTCTGGGGTGCGGTTCCTGAAAAGGCTTTTCCCGCTGCCTGCTAGCCGCTCACTCTCTGCTCTTCACTGCAGAATTCCCCTTCGGAAGCGCACGCCTTGGACGAAAACACAGCGGAAGGGTGGGAGAATCGAATACGGCTCTGGACAGACCAGTACGAGGAGGCCTTTACTAACCAGTACAGCGCTGACGTGCAGAACTTGCTGGAGCGCCACCTGAACTCCAACAGAGAGTACGTGGGCAAAACTGCTGTGCTGGACACAATCAACAAGACGGAGCTGGCCTGCAATAACACCGTGATCGGGTCCCAGATGCAGGTAAGCGCCACGTGACGCGCGGGCGCGCTCCGCTCTCTGCCCAGGCGCGAGGGCATGGGGAGCAGTGTCGCAGCCGGTCACGCAGTTGGAGACCAGGAGGCACGGATTTGGGGTGAAAGGGGATGGAAGAGATGCCGGCTCTGAGACGGATTCAGAAGCACTGGCGGCCGAGCAGGCTGGGTTGGGAAGTGGGGTGTTTCGAGCAGGCCCCTGGCAAGGCTCACAGGTGCTTTGCCCTGGACACGTGTGCTCACTGGGCAGCTGGAGGCAGAACCAGGGCTCTCACTTGCTGGAGACAGGAAGTGTCCTGCTTCCCACCCCGTTTCCCTGTCCTTTTTCTTCCCTTTTCTTTCTCTCCCCGGCTCGTGTTGTGTGAAAGGCTCCTTTAAAAAACCTTCCGCCATTCGTTTAATATCTGGGATGATGATTTGGACTGTGACTGTCAAATACTGCACCACTCCAACAGATTTCAGGGAACAGCCCCCTAACTCCTCAGACACGTGCAGCGAGTGGTGTCGTGCCGGCTTCTCCACGTCCGGCGTGCAGACAAGGAGAAGCTCGTAAGGGAAAAAAAATGAAGGGGGGGTGGGGTGGGGTGTCCCCTCCCCACACTCCCCTCAGCTGACGTTTCACTGCCCGTGCTGCGTTGGCTGGAGAGCAGATTCCGGTCCAGCCCGGGCTCTGCGGGGCTCCCCTGCGGAGGAGAACGGAGTTGGGCCCAGCGGAGGAGGCTGGGCTCCCGCGCAGACATGGGG